CATAACTTCTTTAGTTGCTGCCCACATCTTCATTAATCTTAATTATCTCTGTCCTAGATCATTCTCTTCTGTGGTTCTCTCTGAAGGTCATAAAAAAGAAAGGGGGTTTCCATTGCAAATTGGACCTATGTCAAGTAAAAGTGAAATTCTTCAGGAACAAACAAATAAAAATTTTGTATTAGCTTAAAGACTGTTATGTTGTGATGTCATTCCTGCAATTAAAAAAGCCTTAGCAGCAATTGGCTAGGAAAAAAAAACACATATCAGATTTTTTACTGCCGACCCACCCCCCCCCCAGGGGGTCATGATTTGAACATGAAATACCTGAAAGTAAAATATCACAGAGATGTTGGCTAAAATATTCCTATGTAAACTGCATATCCATAAAAGAAAATACAAAATCAAATCTGTATAAAAATCAAACTGCTTCATAGTCCGAAAAATCTTACGTTTTCCTGGCTTTTTTACGATTTTGATATTTTACATATTCCTATTTTAAACTTTGATCCACCATTTTGTCCCCATACCCCCGGGGATTGCAACTTGAATTAAATTTCAAAGTCAAAAGTTATCAATAGTACAATACTTAAAGAACTTACCAATACAATAAAGTTTTTATGGTTCATTTATGAAATAAATAATCCGTTGAAAAAAGGTTTTGTCACACTGTCGAGATTTGTCTTCATTTCGTGCATTTTAAAATCTTGTATGTCCTGTTACGAAATGTGGAGTTTCGATATTTTCTTTTAATTCCTATGTAAAACTTGGTGATTTTGGCCCCAACCCCCGGGGGTCATGATTTGGCATTGTGGTTTTGATAAATTCTGATTTCGGCATTTAGTTCGGTTCATAAGTATCGAAAATCAACTCCTGTTGAAGACGGTGAAATTTTTTTCCTATATATTCCTATGATTTGATGGGCCATTTTGGCCCCACCCAAATATCAGTTTTCGTAATGGCGCCGATTCCACATGACGTTTTCCTTTCATGTAAAATATCAAAATGTAAAAAAGATTTTAAAAGATTTTTACTAATTGCTTCAAAGGAGAAAACCTAAGAAATGTTTTCATAAAACACCTAAAAACACGGTTAAATGCAATGTCAAAAAGAACAACTCTTCTGGAGAAAGCTCGGGTCTATATATTTATCCTAGTCTGTCCGTCTGTCACACTACTTTTTTTTTCAAACTACTCTTTTGAAATATAATATTGTCTAGATCTGTGGATGTGCAAATTTAATTTTCACCTTGGATAACAACTTGAGATACAAATAAAACTTTTTTTTTTAGAACTCTCCGTATATTTTACTCAATTGTAGTTATTTCATCTTTTGTAATATGATCGATGGTGTCTTGTAGATGTGCAAAAAGGTTCCAGAATTAAATTTTCCTAGAGGAGGCGGCTTAAATTGAAACAGACATCTTTCTTCAAATATTTGGTTCCCATACCTCGCATTAAATTATTTTCTATTTTTGTACAACTGGTTACCCTTTGGCTTCTTATGTTAGTATTTCATGAAACAAATTCATTATAGTTATAAAAGAAAGATAAATGTTTTCAAAAATATTTGGCCACATTGGTCTCCCAGAAAATTGTGAAAAGTCCAGAACAACAGGAAACGACCTTTCCAATGTGATTTATCTTCTGTGTGAAATATAAATGGAGTAGTAATTCTAGGAATCAACTGGCCACAGAAATGAACATTCCGATACTTTGTTGCACATATTTGTTTGCAAAACAAATTCATTTTTATAGTTTCTGATTCTTTGGGTCCGTGTTCCAGGAAAAGGGGAGGGGGGTGTCCAATGTCATTTTTCATATCATTCACATTTTTGTAAGCAAGCACGTGAAGTCTTGAGAATCATTTGTATATTTCAGATGTACATTACTTTAAGTCAAGAGAGATAACTCTATGACCAGTGTCAATACTCTTAATATTTTATTAATTTCATAAGTTAAAAGTTTCGTGTTCAAGCAGCTATAAAATTTTAATCGTGTTGTGAAGATTTTACTTGAAATGCAAAGACCCTCTAGTGAACCATATTGCCTCAGAAAATTGCCTTTTGATTCTGTAGTGAGCTAGAAAGCCCATAGGCTTCTCTTACTTCAGTTTTAAAATAGCTGACTTCAAATTAACTAGGGGCTACGCCTAAGGGTCCTAGTTGTTGTATATAAATCTAACTAGATATTCATATTTGGTAAGAATTTATTTCTGCAGTGTTTTTTTTTCAGGTTATAACCATGAAATAAAAACAAACAATGCATCCACAAATCATCATAGAACATTGTAAATATACCCAGTAAGAATTTTCATATCCAAGTCTATTACTTCCATTAAAAAAACTATTATAGTCAACATCTGATAATAATCATCTCTGATATCGCATTTTGGCTGCTATATTTCTCAAAATTTTAAAATTAAAACAATTGAGAAAGAAAAATCAAGGCTGTTTTCTTATAAAAATATCATTTTGCAATTTTATCTTTCAGAAATGTTGTTTAAAACCCTATATTACAAATTACAATGTCTAGTCATTTTATACCTCAAGCAAACCTCACTTGTCTTGTACAACAAGCACTATTATATACACTTTTCCTTCTGACATAAAACAGCATACATCACAGTTAGGTACACAAATTCCTGTATTTTATAATCTCCCTGTCTCATTAGAGCAACCATCCACCCAACCTACCCCCTCCCTTCACTAGCAATACTGTTCATCAACTGTCTTTCCTCAACCAATTTGTCAAAATTTAAAGTACATATCTGTACCTGTAAACTATTACTTCTTAGGACGGTATTTTGTGATAAAAATTGTTGAGTTTTATGATAAAATCGCAAAAAGAAAGTACATGTACGAAGGTTGTCCCATAAAATCGTGGACAAAGCGTTTTTCTCGAAAAGTAATGGTCGCACTAAGCTGAAAATTTCAGTAAATGTTTATTTATCATATTTAAGTGCATGATGATTTTTTTGATAAAATATAGGCAAAAATAAAGATTTTATTATGCTTGAATGTGCACGGGGTATTGTCCTATACAAAAAACCAAGGTTTTATTAAAGAATACACAAATTTGAATTCAAAATAAAAGTTTAAATACATAAGATTTGGATTAGAATTATCCTAATTCAATTCCACAATCAATTTTGTAGTCTTTGTAAAAAAATTAAGGCATTTGGTTAATTTTTGGCAGTTTTCAGCATTCGAAATGGGAAAGTGGTAAACACAACACACGAGAAATGGCGACGTTTTATGACGTTACACCGGAGAGCAGTTCCGTTTTAATTCGATGTTGTAATGACACCGTTAGAGACTTGAAATGACCATAGAAGAAAAAAGATTATAAAAATATCACCATATCTTAAGTATACAAATGAAATAGGAGTTTTCTTCTAAAATTTTAGCGAATTCTTTTTTGATCCAGTCCCTGGGGAGTACAAAACATACGGACAAACTCCTAATGTAATAGCAAAAGACGCTGTCACAGTAGATCGCCGATATGAGACTTTCTATTAGTTGAATGATGGTGAGAATATTGTCTGTAACTTACTAATAAATCTTCAGAAGATCACATAAGGGTGCCAATTGGTTCTTTGGCTCTTTATGGAGACTAAAGAATGTGTATCAATGAAATTCCTTCAAATTACTCATCCAACTATTTTCAGCAAAGATAAAACGTGACGCTGTTTTAGACACTTTGATATAATCCATCTGATACTACATGGCATAAAATCACATAATTTGTTTATTTATGCATATATTTATCTGAAATTTTGTGTATATTACTAAAATATGTACTAAATAATAGTGAAAATTTCAGAACGCAGTGATGTTTATTTTTTACACTAGACAACTTGTCCACGATTTTACGGGACAACCCTCGTACATGTAAACTAGATGTAATTTGGTTTCAGTTACCTTAAAATACATACTGTTACTGAAATTGTCAACTGAACACAAAAGAGCACTGAAAATATAGAAACCTTCACAACTGTAGACACAGGGTGAACAGATTATACACTACACACTAACAGTGCACAAACTCAACAACAGTGACAAAGACTGCTCTCCACTAAATAAACTGGTAAAACACACAAAGATTTTCAATTTGTTGACATGAGAATTGTTAAAAATCTGGCTGAAACAGAATATACGAGGGCCGTTCAAAAATTACGCGGACTTGTTGCACAGAAAAAATATCTGGCGACATAATCGGGCAAAATTTCACACATAATATAAAAGAATCTTTATTTATATGGTCTTCAAAATTTCGTATCAAAATGTTGTAAATTGGTATCAATTTTGACAGCATACATATCATTGAGTCACGGACACAAAATCTTCGTCACAGGCATTATAAAAAAAATATGTGATTGAGCTTTCATTTTCATCCATTTTCCCAACCTACTGTACAGTTTGAGTTACCTTCACTAGCAATACTGTTCATCAACTGTCTTTCCTCAACCAATTTGTCAAAATTTAAAAAATGCTGTACCTGTAATATATGTGGTACTCTCAATCACGTTCTTTACACCGGATAAATTTTGTGATAAAAATTGTCCTCCCGTATAGCCTTTTTTACAGAGGTCTAACGGTCTAAAATTTCAATTTGCTATTTGTGGACGAATGTACAATGTAGTTTACTACATGTTTTATTATGCATATTTTGGACCTATGTTGGCGATATCTCGAGCATTACACATAATTTAACAAAAGTGTGGTGCGCTGTCAATTGTCAACGTCACACGGTCGAGCACTGAAAATATAGAAAAATCACATATTTCTGTAGACACAGGGTGAAATCAGATACATATACACAATTTACACACTATATTTGAGTGCACAAACTCAACAAAACAGTGACAAAATTTTTTGACTGCTCTCCTCTAAATAAATATACCGATAATTTTAGGTTTTTTTAAAACACACAAATTTTCAAAATTTGTTGACATATTTCTGTGAAATTTTAAAAATCTGTGAGAGTAAATAATAGCAGAATATAAAATGTTCTGATCTTCATTTATATCCTTGAATGTGAAAAGAGTTCTATGCTTAAAAATGGTAATAATACATGAATAGAATAAGAGATATCGTAAAAGTCAAAATTGATGTAAATTACAAATGAAAACCTGAGATGATTGAAATTAAAAAGTAAATTTTACAAAAGTGTAGCAGTGAATACAATACATTAATTCAAACAAAATATTTCATTCAAGCAAAAAAAACATTAAAGAGGCAAAACATAAAACAAAAACACTTTAACCAGCATCTACCCCATTTCACTGATTTATAGATTTAGTAAATACATGTATACACATGTAGTGTATGAATTTTCAAAACAACATAAAGCTGAATTAGCACACATTGAAGTGATATGTATAAATAAATAACAAGTCTGGACAAAAATAGATAAGTTTATAATAAGGATGAGATCAGCAAGAACATTTACTAATCCCATGTACAAGTACACAATAAGTTATAAATAAATGATAGAGCTGTCTTTCTCTAAAAATGTTATCCACAACCTGATGCATGAGTAATTCTTCCTTCTGTAACAGATCACTAATTATGAAATCAAGGTGTGGAAGTAAGTACATCACCTGACGTAGCTATCACAGGTGTAATAGAGAGATAAGTACACAGGTCACCTGACTGGATGTAAATATCACAGGTGTCAGAAAGTTGATAACACAGCCACAGAAACAGAACCGCTGCTTCCTCAATGGACGGAATATTTCATTCAGATCAATACTGGAGATTTCACAATGGTTCAGGCTATCACAAATGTATGTAAATTATGTAGTGCTGCCAAAAAAAGATAGGATATTTATGCAAAAAAAGGCATTAGGTTTTCATTAAGCATTTCAGTCATTGCATATCACAGGAATTAATTTGTTCAAGTGAAATCATATATATTCAGCTACTTTACATTATTGTACTGGTAGCCAATACCATGAAGAAAATCACATAAAGGCATGAAATCTGCTGTTTATACATTAACTCTGACATTCAGACTGACAATAATTCAGAAGGAAGAGTTACCCCTACCTCCCTAGTTCTCCAGCATCACTGGTTCATCCTCCATATCATCTAAATCGGGTACCATCGCCTCTATATGTTTTTTCTTCCTCTTTTCTGACATTTCTGTAATAAAACAATAACTAGACTTAGAAACTATTCCAAAACATAAAAGAATATCTTATATGGGATCCCTTTTCAAAGAGAACTCTCAAAAGCAACATTCACATGCACCTAACATCAACATATGTAAAATTATATCCAAATACTTGATATCATCATCACACACTGGTATTAATCTAACACAATGACTGTAGTATGTAGAAATATAAGACGATAAATCTTCATATATAATGGATTGTTTTACAATTACATGAAAAAATCATAAAGCAAATCAAAAATGCTGAATAGGGTAATATTTACTGCATTACTTTTCAGACACTATTTTCAGCATTATTTTTTCTGAATGTTTTTCCCCCTGACATTTCTCACCATTTTCTAACGTCACGTTTTCTGCTGGTAATCCCAGCATTGATAAATCAGAGAGTCCATTTAAATCAGATCCATAATCTGGCTCTTTGTTACGTTTGCTCTTATGCTGTCCAAACTGACTTCCTATAAGAGTTTCTGTATCATCACTATTGTCTATATGTCCATTCTCCATCACAGTTTTACTTGTAGCAGAAACTTTGGCTTTCTTCTCCTTTCTCGGTGAAGGACTTATGTTTACTGAAAAAAAGAAAAAACAACAGTATAATTATATGGTTTTAAAGCAAAATCTTTGATGTTGATAACCTTATATTGGATTTCACTACATTTACTGTACATTTACACAGCAATACTTAAGTAGATTGTTGATATACATGAATCAGTAGCAAAAAGATAGGAAGAGGTTAATTCTGTAAAACCAACAACTGATGTATGAATATTTTCAAATTTCTCTTGCACTTGGGTGCACTTAAACTTCTTCATGTACATTTCCACATTTAAAATGGACATTTCTTTTCCCATACCCATCTGGATTTTCCTTACCCATAGAGTTCTGAGGTAGTCCCTCCAGCAGCCTGGCCCCCTTGCCCAGTTTATCACACATGAGGGCGATGTGTTTCTTGACCTTAGTGGTGTCTTCGGGTATCTGTAGAGGTTGAGGATTCAGGGTCTGGTCCTTGGAGGACTTGGCTAGGGTGGTCCTCAGTAGGTGTGTCACAGCGGCGTCCACCGACTCCTGCCAGCCCTGATTAACAACATAGATAAATGTCAGATGTAAACTGTTAGCAGGTGCCTAAAGGTATGGCTTTGTGTCAAGTACAGGCATATGTACAGATTCAACAGTAAACATGATACAAGTACATAGAAACTTTCCATAAATCATCAAAAGTTCTGAAGTAAAAGCCTTTTATATGAAAAATTTCAGTTCTAGTAAAATTCTGATTCAGGTAGTTGAAACTTTAACATTACCATTCTTTTGCTCCTTGTTTCAAGATAAAGTGTACAGTGTATTTACCGGTTCATTATACACATTTTTACTCTATATTGTGTAGCTCCTTGTTTCATGATAAAGTGTATAGTGTATTTACCTGTTCTGTGGAGCTGGAGACAACAGGTGAGATACAGTTCTGTAGAACCTTATACTCATCATCTGACATAGTTGTCCACAGCTTAACCAAGTAATTAAAAAGATAGGTTCCACTCGACAGATTCAGGGCGGCCACTTCCTGCGACTGGTTATTCTCTTCTATTGTATCAGCTAAATGTAAGATCTGAAGAAAAAATAAACCATCGCTCTGAAATCATCTCGTAAATTTACACTACCTTATTTTACAACTAAGTTCTCGGAAATTCTACTGAAATAATTTTTGTGAAAATACTGCTATGGACAGTGTCTGTGGTCAAGAAATTATTTCTCCTACAAAACAATTAACTTCATGGATATACCAGTTACCTGTCTATAAGTGCCCTCTAAGAGTGTATCTAAATTAGATAATGGAGCAGGAGTCTTGTCCTTGAATCGCGTCAACAGTCGCCTCTGTATTGCACGGAACTGTGAAGCTCGCTGGTTTAACATTTCTTTACATCTCTCTGCATTCAGTCTATGCTGTAAAAATATTTTGTAAATTAAATTAGTTCTCACCTGATATTATTGAAAATGATTTTATGCTAATTTTCTTTTTGAAATACTACTTTATAAATGTTTTGGAGCATAGCAATGAGCATATGAACAACTTATCTAAACCTATCTGTAAACTATTATCAATCTTCCAATTTCTTTAAAACCTTCCTAAATATATCATCTTTCTTTAGTCCTTACCTCAAAGTGAGCATCAATCAGATCAAAATACTCCTGTATTGGCAGCTGTCCAGTAAAATACAGTGTAAAGTTGTCATTTTTACTTCGATTGAAGTGGCTGTTTAGTCTCCCTGCTAGTTCCTTTACCATTAACCACATGGCTTCAAATCGGTCACACTGAAGGCGATACCTCTCTACAATGATAGTTAGTCAATAGTGCATAATTCATTGAAAATGTTTTTGAATAGTTTCTTTGAAACCAAGTTAAACTCTGATGGTGAAAACTGCCATCAAAATAAAACAAAAGGTCAACCAACAATTATTTTTGAAACAGATAAAATTCAATTAGTAAGTATCAATGTAGGACATTTAATGAAAATCTTTTAAATCGATCTTAATATACACTGTATTTGTATAAATGAAGAGCTAGGATCTAAAGGTCAAACGGAAGGTAATGGTCAGAATATTTTGTCTTGAGAAACTGAACCAAAGTGGGACAGAGAGATGGAAGCAAAGAGGGATAGGAGACAGATTCATCAAACACTATTTGCTTTATCCATGTCAGGGCATAAAGCTTCAGAGTGGATGTCTGACTGGATATTTAAGACCACCACACACTTACGAGAAGTCTTGGATGCCAGCACAGACACAATAGGGCCGTTTCCATAATACTGAAATCCTAATGCAGCACCCTGTCCTCCTGCATTCTCACCAAGTAGATCTACAAATTCAAAAACACCTTACTTGTATTTTTTATCAATACAGGTACCACAATCACAGCACAGAAAAATTCAGTTATGATATTCTCACTTTATAATTAACTCAAGTTTATAATTTATACAATACCAAAAAATAAAAATCTTTTTTCTAAAGTCATTGCAGAAGTATTCAATTGTGTTATGTTCACAAACCTGGAAAGACTTCATTTAAGTTAGCTGGCGGCTTGTTACTATCCAGAGTTAGTTTATACTCAGCATTCTTCACTGGTGGAATTGGTTTTATCACAAGTTTTATAGGGAGCTTTGCCCTTGCTGTGGCAACTCTTGGAGCACCTGTCAATGATGAAAGATTTGTAAAAATTGTACAACAATATGCCAAATACCATGTGCATGCACAAAAATTATATAGAACTAATAAGTAGTTTACAATCTTTGGAGGGATAAGGACAAAAACAGAGAAGTCAGACCTGATGCACTCATGTAGTTAGCTGACACAGAAATAGACATGTCAGCAGGCAGTGCCTTCCCAACCATGAAGAATGCCACAAAAAATTCTGACGGATTACTGGGATCTGCAAATAGAAAGTCAAATTATGAAGCAAAAAATCAAAACAAAAAAAATTTGCTAAAAAGTAAATACAAGTATTAACATCATGATGGACATTAATGAAATATGTTTTAATATAAGTAGCATATTAAATATGCTTATTGACAATTTATCTTAATTTTTTTTTAATTTACTGTCATTAAATTTATTATTGAATATCTTACCAACAGAGGAAATCTCAAACGAGGTGACATTGGCCTTGAGCGGCCAGCTGGCATGGACATGCATTTTAATATGTTCTATGGTCAATCTGGCCTTGACCTGAACACGGACTGTGATGGAGGGCACAGGGTCAGGGTCATCAAATTCTACCTCTGTAGCCATCTAAAAAAATCATATCCATTTGTTAGGCAAATGTAACATACAAATGAAGCCTTTTAAGATTTAGAAAAGGTCTGTATGTGCTGACATTTATCTAAGAAAGATAACTTGTCGCTATTTCCAACACCTTAAAAAAAATATGTATTAAATTCACCGAGTTTTCAATATGGAAAAAAGAAAAAATCTTTTCCTTGCTTAAAACTTACAGAAACATCATCCAGGTTGGGATTGACTTGTGCTAACAGCTGTAAGTCATCTTCCTGTTTCTTCAGATTGGGCATCAGAACTAAATCACAAAACAGACACCTAATTATCAAAGTGAATATACTAGCAGTAGTAAATTTATCTCTTTTTTGAGGTTCAGTACAATAAGGAGCCAGGGTTAAGAGAACCTTTTCAAGACTGAAAGGATAATAATGAGTTTGGACCCACCCTCCTGGATCCTTTGGGGCTGACAATGATGAAATTTACATGATGTAAGATCAAAACTTGGCTAAACTGGTTTTATAAAACAACAGAAATATAATTATAATGATCAGCATAACAAACATTAAAAAACAAAAACATTAATATGTGACTATAGTGACTCTGATGATCTTTTAACTAGGTTTTACCAGTTTTATGTGAGGACTGCTTGATTCTCTTCTGAAGCTGTGCCATTTCTCGATCCATTTCAGCGTAATTCAGTTCCCGGGACTCGGGAACAGGAGGGATGAACAGAGCCGGATCTGTACCGAGGTAGGAACACTCCAGACGACCTTTGTCAGACAAGGTCACTATCACACCCTTCAGATCTCTGTAATTGATAGCAAAAATTTTTTTTGTTAATCAAGCATACCTAAAATCTTACAATGAAAGTTTGCACTAAGAATATAAGAAAATGCCTGGTTCACATTTACCGGTATACTGAATTTTATCTTAACTATAGATACAGGTCAAGGTAACAGGTAAAAAAAAAAGAATTTACTTTCAAATTTAAGATGTATGTTGCACTGAAAAACAGTGTAAATCAGCTTATTTTTTCATACCATTGTGTACATGTACATTTTACTTTAATACATGTACCTATCTAATACCAAGTGTAAAAAATATGCACACCTGCTAAATAGTTTACCTGAGCTATTCAAAGCATTACAAGCTTTAATATTGATTAAAAATCAATGACACACAGGAAATTGATAAAGTTTGTGATCTTAACACGAATGTTATCATTTAAAATCAATCCTTATAACGAATAACAGATGTCTTGTAACTATTCTCGTTTTTAAAAAAATCCCCCCGCTCCAACCCACTGCCCTTAACCTACTGTACCATGCTCTGTATATGTGAGAATATTAATAAAACTTACTTTATCCTTTAAATTAGTTGCATTTGTTTATACAAACTGTTTGCGAAAAAGAAATCTTACAGTGTATGCCGAACAATATTCAAACACTGCTGCCTCAAAATGTTTAAATCTAACTGAAATTGACTTACTGAAATGTGCCAAGTCTAACTTGGACAGGTGTAAAATCTAACTTGGCTGCCCACTTCAGGGTAAAGTCTTGGTAAACCATCAAAGAATTTGTAGTGTGAGTAGCCACCAAACAGTTCACAGTATTTTCTACAACTACATGTATATACAAAAATTCAGGTTGAACTGTAGAATCCAAATAAAGTAATATTCAAGGTTCAGAAGAAAATCAGTTTCATAAATCAAAATATTTGGTCAGATTATTTTCCAAACACGAAAGGATATGGTTCTTTACCTGAACAATATGGCAAAAAGCAGCTAGGTTCATACTCTAATTTCTTCATCCATCTTAACTTTCCCATTTCAGTTAGGCAAAATATGTTTCTTTCTCCTGTAAAAATTCATATATATTTTGAATGTTATGGGCAAAAATAAAAAAAAAAAAAAAGAAATATTAAGAGAATGTGAATTGTTAATCAAATTCTATTGAAATTAAACACTAGCATCAACAAAATAAATCCATACTTTCTTATATTTCTTATATGTGCATATGTCTCATATGTATTGATTACTGACAAATGTTCTCTTGTTTAGATTTTTATCAAGGAGGTGTATCTTAACTAGCTTTCCAAGCATGAACATATTTATGTTCAAGCATGAACAGCCTTTCATTTACCTAAGACCATAATAGAAGGTGGACAATTTTCATAGTTTACAACCACCAAATCTAAGGCCTGCTCTCCAAGATTGTAGAACCAATCCCACTGTCAAATAAAATTATAAATATCAGCTTCCCAAATGACTTTAATCTGCAGTATAATTGGTAGAGATCTAAGAAGTGTTTTTTTTTTACAACAGTCTTACCGTGACTCTTTTTCCAGATTTAATGTTCTGAGATTCTTCTTTTGTTTTGGCATCAGTAGCTACAGCTAGTACTTGGTACCTGCAAAGTTAGGCAACTTTCAAAATATGCACTGCATTGTATATCATTTGTGATTTGATGCAACTTTAAAATAGTTATTTATCAGACTGCATCAGGTTGTGATCCATGAATGGGACTCATGAACATGGTGTAAAAAAAGAAAACTTTAATGTTGGTGACCTGTCAGACTTACTTGTAGCACTCTAGCTGCCATGTGGATGAGACAGTTACAAAGCTATCGGATTTTGGCATGTATCTTATAGGGCCTGGTAAAAGAGCACCTGGTAAAAACCGACAAAAGGAAAAACTCTCCTGCTCAAAAATAGAGACTGTGCCATCCATCGACTGCACACAGATAAAGTCTCTTCCTGTTATAAAGAAATTGTATATCAATGTTAAATCCAGATCTGGATATAAAGAGTAGGCCAGTAGAAGTAATTTCTAAGTGACCATCTTTGAACTACAGTCAAACTTGTTTTAAGAGGCCACCTTTGGGAAGTCCGGAAACTGGCCACTTAAGACAGGTGGCCTCTTATTCCAGTTTGTCCTCAAACAGGACATTCGGTCAATAAATAAACAACATTAAGCACTACAGTTAAATTGATTAATCATAATTAAACAGGTCAATTTCACAAAAGCTTTTTATGTGTATATATGATAATTCAAGCTTATTTAAAAAGAATGTTAAAGAATTCCAAATGTTTAGGTTTTGTGCATGTTTCTATTCCTACATAATAATTAAAAATCTTGCATTCATCAGTGTGCTTTTGTTACATTAAAATATAAAATTCTTTTAATTTTCATTTGAAGAAATACATACAGTGCCTGACTATTATCCTTTTTTTATAAAGAAAAAATACACAAAAATACAGTTTAATGGTAAATAAAATAAAGCAAAGAAATTAAAAATATGTTCACTTTCATGAGTTAAAAAAAATGGTCAGCAGTATAACACCCCCCCCCCAAATTAATTAATTGGTAATTAATTTACTTGCTGATGTTTTTAAAGTCTGATTAATCTTATTGTTTATAAAGCTTTATAAAAGAATTTCTATGTAACATACACAGACACACAAATGAAATTAAGCAGTTGACCAGAGAGATGTATTTAGGCAGTTGAAAATCATTCCATAACACAGGTGTCAAGTGCAGCAGAGCGTAACTAATCCCTATTGATCGTCTCTTGATAGTGAAATTCACGAGATAATCATGGCATATGAAGCACTTTGTTTTCACAAGAGTAGCAATTAGGGCTTCTACATGGATTCAAAATCTAAAAGGTGTGAATTTCTTTAGCTAGAGAAAAGTATCAATTGTAATTTAATTCTTTTAATTTCTCAATCGGCGATCTTGAAAAATAATTACAAATTGATCTAACAGGACAAATATTTTATTTTCATAAACACAAACAGAGTTCAGCGTAACTAAAAGCAATTTGTTTAATTGCATTAATAGGTTAAATTGACTAGCGAGGATATAATTATTCAAGCCAATGCGTTTAAAAGATGTGATAGGATCGCAACAAGTGACGAAATGGCCGCCTATTACAGTGTCAATAAGGCTGTTGGGGGAGGATTTGAGTGGCCGCTGGCCGCGTTACACAGGTGGCCGTTTATTCCAGTTAAAATATATAGGAAAAATCTTCGGGGGGAACTGAAAGTGGCCGCTGACCGCAAGTGGCCGTTGATTTCGGGTGGCCGCTAAGACAAGTTTGACTGTATTGATTTTGGAGTAGAAATTTTAACTTATGATTGAGAAAACTACCTTTTACACCACCAAATGGACCATAACAAAAGTTGAATGTTGTTCTTTTAAGATTATGCTCAAATGCAAGGTTCAGCTGAAAATGCCTGCCATGTTCCACAGCACCAGATGTCACTGAAATGTATGTCATGATAATTATATCAATGGAAACTCATACCTTTTATTTTAAAAAGAACTTATATTAATTGCAAGGTCAACTGATACTTAAAATATAGAAGTTATAGTTGGTTACCTGCAACTTTATAAACTGCTAATTTTCTTGGATGCAGGACTGCTAAATGTAAATTTTCTGTCCCTCTGAAAATTTTGTATATCATACGTCAAATAAATAACTGATTAAAATTCAAATGATTTCTGTTCTCCAATGCTTGGCTTGCAAAAAATATTCAGCTTTTTCGTTACCATGTTTACCTTCTCTTATTATAATTATTTTTCACTTGTAAAGAAATCTCAGGTTGTGTTCCGGGAAACTGATGCATGTACATGATGCAAAAAAGAAATATTTATTGTTAGTAAACTGTGAACAGTGTACTTACGATACAAATTTCCCTGCCTCCAGCTGGAGTATGGGTTCCGGTAGAGACGCCTCCAACAGAACATCCTCGGGTTTATAACCTGACCAAGCCCCGTCATCTGCCTTTGTGGGCTTCGGATTGAAGATTCTTAATATGCCATGGTAGCTTCCAATGATAATTTTGTCTACAAAATAAAAAAGTCATTATAGCCAGGTATCTTTCATCAATAAATAAGATATGAATACATCTGGAAATATTTCAGATTTCAGCCATATTCAATGGTACTACTTATTTGATGAATTTCAGACTGAGTTGATTCAGAACACAATATTACAAAATATTACTCTGCATTTTAAGCACTCATACGAAAACAACAAATTGCTTTAGCATGTGGAAGAAAATGCCTGATTACCTAATTCATCACTGGCATTGTCAATATTGGCTACACAGAGACATCCCAGATCAAACTCCTCCTCTTCACCGACAGTGGTGGACCACCAGTCCCGAGCTTTGAACAACGACATTGCCCTCTTTAGCTAAGTAAAGTCTGACACCTGTATCAGAAGGTAAAAGAGGGTGAAACGTCAACATGATAAACAGTTTGAACTTGGAGAGAGAAAAATTATTTATGCAGTGCATTTCATGATAAATAAAAATTATAATGTATGGGACATCCATATACATGTAATTATTCTCCATGGACAAGTATGAAGATGATAGTTTAATTATACCTCCCCCCCCCTCAACTTCAATTGTTTTTTTCAAATCTGATGTGATATCAAAAAGTTAGTTTTGATGCACAGATGTAACAGTTATTTTTGCCATGAAAATGTGATCTTAATATACCCACTCTGCTAAATTAGAACACATTTATCCAGTGGAACACTTACTTGCATCATTATGTGTTATACCTGATCCATTTATTCATTCAATACTGTGTTTGAGCCTGAGTAGACCTCTTAAAAAGTCTTACACTATTTCTTTGGATAGCTATTTAACACAGGAATATGTATCCAATGAATCCGGAAATATAGTTTAAAGACTTTTTAAGAGGTTAACTTGGGTTAAAATGCAACAGCCTTTTGTACAGAAGTTGAGATGATGTATTAAAATGATTGAGTCATCAATTTCATAATAGAGAATCAGAGTTCTTGAAATCTTTCGGTCCTGTCGGCAAAACCGATAAAAACAACCAAGGACCGATTACTTTGCGTTCTCTGTCAGTCCAAGTGACAGGTAAGTGTTGACAGAGAAACTTCGACAATTTGACCAAATTTCATACAAATTCCCTATAAACGACCAATCGTCATCTTTCAAATGCTTTGCTGTATCCTGTAATGGTTTCTTCAATGAACGCAAGTGCCAAACTATGATTGGTAAACTTGTTTGTTGACGGCGCTAAGGTAAGCCAGGCAAGAAAATCAAACTAGATTAAAATCTTATGAAGAAAATGGACCCCCAAGAGAATTCAACGAAAGATGTTATAC